AACGGCAAGAGACATCCGGAGTCGTTTATCGAATCTACTGCAGGTGTGGGCAAAGCAGCCAATTCGGAGAAACTGGAGGACAGCACTGTACGCGAATTTCCGAAGATGTGGCAACAGTGCGGAGAAATGACGCCGATTCTCAGGTCGCGGCTCATTCAACAAGACCCGGACACAAATTCAAGTTTATTGCGACCAAACTCCTCGTGAGAGAGGACAATCACGTCAGCCGCGAGTCTTTTGAATTCTGCTTCCTGGGTTGCCAGTCTACTAACAAATGCAGTGACTTCCCCAACCCATATTCGGTGCCGACACTTAGTTTGACCAAAGCAATCAGCCGCTCGATAGCGCGCAGCCGAAAACATTTTCCAACGCAAAAATCGGTAAGCAATCATCACGCTAGCCTTTAACACTGATGATGAAATGGAAGCAAATAATGATCCTAATGCCGGCAATCGAGCAATTAGCGCACGCGAAGAGAATAATCCTCAATAAAGGGGAAGCCGTTTATTCTCATTGGCATGAAGTGGCATAGTTATTGCATCCTACAAATACAGCATATCCTTGTATACGAAATACCCGTATCTGATGCCGACTTCGAAGATGGTTTCGAACTGGAATCCAAAAGGTCAGGCGAATCAAGTTCGTGTTCCAGCGGTTCCCTCTAATCCTTTTCGATTACTTCCCGGAACTCGAATTTTCGCTGGTATGAGTAACGGCTGACTGATTAAAACTGGTTAGTCGAAAGTGGCCATCACAAAAAGAAGGGTATGGTGGCTTTTTCATCCGAACTGTCGCTCGTGTCCTTTGGCACAGATAACAGACCGCACAGCTGGCCGAGTATGACCTTTAACTGGGTCATCGATCTGTTCGCGTAGGGCCTGACAGACGGCTGTTGCGTCCACGTGCATGTGAGCTGAGTCATCGGTCGAATTTCACGCTTCCTATAAAAGCCATTAAATCTGACTAGCGAAGGATCATTATGCGGCCGAAAGTGATCTTACACCGTTAGACAAATCAGCCGCCTGCATAAAAGCCGATAAATTACTGTAATTAGCACGCCTACGCCTGTCCACTGTTTACAATTTTACAGATGAATTGGATATTGCGAAGGCGGCCAGTTGCAAACAGTCCCTTGGGATGAAAAGGTCTCCTTACAGGTTTCCTATTCATCCATACTGGCTAATCGAACACCGGGCAAGGATGGGATATGTAAGTCCACTGAGAAAACAGCGCAAGGATTCCTGTGATAAGAGAAAGGTATAAATATCCGTTTAATCAGTAGGACGGATGAACGTAATTACTGATTGAATCTTCAAAAGGTACTGAGAAAACTCGTGTTTTGGCAGATCTTTGTTTTATTACTCTAAAGAGGTACTGGAGCTGACTGCAGAATTCGAATGATGCTAATTAGAGGCGCGTAAATGGATGGAAACAGGCATCCCAGATTATTGATGAACGGCTAGACTGGGTAAGATGGTATGTGGCAGGCATGCTTAACTATGCTCCTTTCCCCTAACCATAAATGTGAGCCCTGACCAAAAAATCCGAACGCCAACCCTAAATCTTACACCCACAACTGACTAATTATAGCGTAACATGCCTACCTACATCAAAAAAGGTCCGTTATAATAATAATATGTGGGCTTCACTCGTTACTGAGCTCAGAACCTGCCTTAAAAGAGCAAACTGGGAAGGTCTGTGTTTTATCCTGATCGGGTTTGCCTACATAAGACATTTGTAAGTTTTTTTAATAAGATTTTTCTCGAAAAGAAGTCAACCATGCGCCATACGGAAGGTCCCACTGTGGTCTACAATGAGGTTAGGGTTGCGGACTTAGAGCCCACGCAAATCAGATTATTTCCGATTGCACCTAACAAACTACGAGTTTGGAATCAGATTTTGGCCCACAGCACACCGGAATTCGGTTTTTCCAGCCCGATTCTGACTGAGGACAACAAATAAGCTAGAAATTGCCCTTTCTTTCTCTCTCCCTCTCTCCTCTTTATTCGTATACCTTTCACGTAACACCTCCATTTTTAGCGCCGTGAAATATAAGGTTACAATATCAGATATTCCAAGCTCGAAGACCTAAGACTGTTACGTAAGACGCCCTCTCCGGGGCTGATTTCGCAGATATGGCTATATTTTTAATTGGTTGTCATGGTGTAACCTCGGAAAATTACCTCGCAGATGAGATTTCAGCCGAATAAAAAAACCTAAAACGATGACCCCGAAACTCATCTTCTGCCAGCTGCCGACATTTTATCCAGGTTCACCGTGATATCGCATACAATAGATCTCTTATCTCATGAAACTTCAATCAAAGGATGAGGCTGGTCGAGCACCGGAACAGTTCGTTTATTGTCCTGAGTTTTCAAACTCG